GCTCCCCCTCCTCCTCCTGTGTGGGAGGGGCCTCCCCCTCCCCACCTGCGCGGAGGGGCCTCCCCCTCCCCCACCTGCGCGGGAGGGGCCTCCCCCTCCCCTACCTGCGCGGGAGGGGCCTCCCCAGGCCCCACCCCTTCTCCCGCCTCCCCCTGCTCCTCTCCTCCAATCAGGGGTTTTGGCGGGAGATTTGAATTTCCCAGCCCCTCCTCTCCAATTAACTCAATTGGTCCTCCACCTTGTCCATTTTCGGGTCTACCGGCCTTCAGTTTGTTGGCAAAAGATTTGGGGCAACTTCTGAACAGATGATCAGACGCCCCACACAAGTTACACTTTCTGCCATTGGAACATTCTTCAAATGTGTGTCCAATTTCTCTACACTTACCACAGACCACTTGAGTGCAAGCCTCCACCAAGTGCCCGTGCTCTCCACACCTCCGGCAGAGCTTGGGTTGTCCCTGGTAGTGTATGTAGCCACGGTTTTCTCCCAGAACTATCATACTAGGCAGGTGCTTCAGGCCTTGGTAGCCCTGGGGGTCCTGCCATTGCTGGACAGGAACCCTCCAGCTGCCGGTCCAAATGCCGTCCACATCTCTAACCTTGATAGCCTGGCCCTTCACCGTGCAAAATCTTCCCAGCCATACACAAATATCATCTGCACTCACAGTCTCATTGAACATCCTGACAATCACATGTTTCAGTGAATTATCATTCAGGTTCTCAACAGTGAATGCAGAAAACTGGGGCTCCACTTTTTTTAAACCTGGTCCAAAATTCATTTCAGTAACAACACGGTACGAAAGCTCACGTCAAACCCTCTGTTGAAGGGCAGAGACAGGATGCAATTCAAGTCATCAGGCTTGAACGAGAGCACCTTCTGAACCAGGCCGCGGGAGAAGTCTAACCGGGAAAAAGGAGGCACCTTCCCGTTGACCTCCCGCAAAGTGAAGCGCACGCTGTGGTGCCTCCTCCTGCCGGCATGGGAGGCCGACATTCTGGAGGCACCAACAGCTAAAACCAACTAAAAAACACTTAAAACTATATCTAAAACCCACTAAAAAGACTAAAACCAGTTAAAACAGCTAAAAAACAATAAAAGTGAAGCTAAAACCAGAGTAAATACTACTTAACCCCTGAACCCACATCAGAATTGCAACATACTTAGAGCTGTCTAGTAATGCTACATTGACTGAATGTAACAAAAAGGCATTACCAGCACCCAACATCTTATTACATTATATTACACTTTTGAGGATAGAATATTGGATGATATGAATTCAAATCAACGACATGGCTGCCTTCACTGACCACCCCAGCTCTCTTTTCTGGATACTTTAACAATTGTATAAGTAAGTAAACAATCTGTGATATTTTTCTTTCATTCTTAACATGTTTAGTGTTAGAAAAGTTAAATATATTTTAAAAAGTATACTACATATGAGTTAGAGTGATTTAAGTAAATGTTGCAAAAACGCAACACTGGGTTACAAAGGGTGCTCTTTTACACAGAGAATCCTCACCCCTGAGTGTTGAGCCAATAAATGTGTGTGTGTTATAGTTTGTACTATATAAAATTGTATAATTTTGAAATAGAATCAGAGACAGTGATAGTGAGAACTGTTTCCAGTGCTGCTTTCATCCTTCCACATTGTGGATAACAAAGTGTTACAGAACAAGACAAACTTTGGAAGATTTGGCTATGGTTGAAGTCCTCAGGAGAAGTTTCTAAGATAGTGCTAGAAAAGCATAATTAATACATTTTATGTATTACTATTATTATTAATTAATTAATCTTGCATTGATTTATATAGCACTTTCAAGTCCCAAAATGTTTTAACAGTTCTTATTCATCACTCCATACTCAGCGTGGTAAACTACTACTGTAGCCACAGCTGCCCTGGAGGCTGCCATCGGGCCACCTGCCCGTCTGACCTCCACTGCACCCACCACTTTGTGGTGAAGTGTCTTGCTAAGACACAACGATGGGGTTTTTGCAACTGGCGCCCACACTGTGGCACTGAATTGCACAGTGTCTCCCATCCAAGTACTAATCAGGCCCGGCATTCTTACTTCTGAGATCTGACGAGATCAGGCTTTGACAAGTAGATGGCCAAAACTAACTCCACTGATTGAAATGATGATTCCTTTCAAGGGAAGGTTCGTGGAATCAGGCATATATGCTGGTAAACCCCATTCCTGGGCTTTAAGTCTGGGCAAGACAGGAATCTCCGGCATACTCTGTGACTTGATGTGAACCAGGTAGTGGCAGGGTAACCTGCTAGGTCTAGCACCGACCTGGCCTAATCTTCAACTTTGTCTTGCTTCTGTCATCCCTAACACTGAGGTTTCCACAAAGTGGATGGATAAAAGCAAAAGCACTGAAAGGTTAAAGCATCACATCAACTATGGGGCCATACCGTGTACTTAGTGCTGTTCTGTATAAAAAAAGATGTTTTTTGTTTTGTTTTGTTTTTTCAATTAAATTATTCATTTTAAAATATGTTTTTATTTTATTGGTGAGCATACTAATACAAAGTTGCTTTTATTAATGTGAAGTTGTAATATTGTTACCACTAAAGCCAATGTTCAATTTGCAACATTTCCCAAGATTCCTAAAAAAAAGAAAAAAGAAAAAACTAATTTTTTCTTATTAGAGGCTTAGTAAACTGTTAAAAACAAGGTTAATTTTTTTTTCATCCAGGAAATGAATGCTTGGTTCAGAGGGTTAAAGTGCAGGTGCTCGGTTGTGCAAACTCCCAAATAAGGTGCTGTAAAAGGGAAATAAACAAGAATACAGAAACGAAAAGTAACAGAAATAAGCTACAACAAACAATATATCCCCCGAGGCCGAAACAAGAGCCACAAAGCTAATGTTTTTGGCTCCTCGAGGCGATCGCAGTTCTTCAACCAGCGCAATATAACTACACTTGATCTTAGCCAAAAGGCCGAGAAGCGATAACTTAAATGTGTCGTGGTTAGTTAGTCATTCTTCGTGACGCCGATGTCAGTCACGGTGCAAAAACATGTTTTGCTATAACACTTACAAGCGCAACACATAATGACTTGAATAAGCGCACAAGTTGAACAGACAAGATTTGGGTTGCCACTCAACTTGTATTATTTTAATATTTGAGAGCAAAACGTATCATCTGAAATCCATTGGCGTGCAAGCGTGGTCACGTGGCCCAATTGACGCCAGTGAATAATTGACAAAAGACAACTTTCTCAAACTATATCCATACTCACAGATTGAGGGGACAGATAAATTGAGGCAAACGCAATTTAGTTTAGCATTTGGGTAGTTTATAATCAGCTCCATACCTTATGAAAACATGGAATAAGAAACACTCACTTCCTGGTCACATGGGACCCGTTTGGTTTCGAGAGCAGATTTAAAGGCACAGACCAATTTATTGGTCTACAATGCAACTTTTGACAAAATGGGTGTAAGTGTATTGCAAAGGAATATTTGTAATAAATGTCGTTAAATATCAGTGCTGGGTTCTCCCGAAAATCTGGTTATGTACTTCAACTTTATTTAGTCTTTTTCCTATGAAAAAGCTTTTCCCACCCTGTTTTTTGTGTTTGTTTCTCTCCCCGGAGTGTATGCTTAGAAAGGTTTGGCTGTCCTAGGTGCTGTACTGTGCCAACCCATCAGACAAATAGAACTGCATAAACTTTGGTTTTGGTTTGGAAACATCACTCTGCCAGTTTTTTGATTATGTGCACGTCGCCTTTAAAGAGAGCGCATGACGTGAGGGGTGGGTTTTCTTGCTTTGTTTGTCCAGAGCTGTTTGGGCTTGAGACCTAAGACTGACCGACGAGCAGAGCGAGGAATAAACACACTTCTGTGTTATTATTATCTGTTACTCACGAGGGACAGAAGAGTGTATTCATAACGTAATAACTGTGTAATTACACACAACGATGCCGTCTGACAGACCCTTCAAACAAAGGAGGACATTTGGTAAGATATCAGCTGGGCTTGATAAGGTGCTTGAAAAGCAGCTGTCTGCGCTAGCATTTAAAGTTAGCCTGCTGGCCTGCTAGCTTCTTGTTTACTTGTTTCAAATGTTATTACGCTTTAATACCTTGTTTGTTACTGCTTAACACGCAACGAGGGGTTTACGTAGTGATAACGAGAGCTATAATGTTAAACTAATTGGTCCGTTGCAGGATATTTTCTAACAAGTGGTTAAATAATGCTATAATTCAAATTATCTGGTTAATTGCAAAGTCGGCACTGGGATTTCATGTGATTAGGTTATGTACGTCGGTTCTTAAATATCTTGGACACTATAGCAAGGTCACAAATGGTGGCTCTGACGTTAAAGAAGCTCCTTAGGCCTGCCCTTTTTTCACCTATAAGTTGTTTTGAATAATAATTGGTTGCAAAAAGAGACCTGAATGTGT